CTACTCTGCCATAAATAAGGGTAAGTTTGAGACATTTCTAGCTAAATGGATGCACCTTGAGACCACACTCATAAGTGAAATAAATCAGACACACGTTTATATACTGCATTGTTCCTCTGGTGTGAAAAACCAAAAGTGTAAATAAGGACCAAAACATGTAACAGATATCGGAAGATGAGAAGAAAATGTTCAAATGAGAAGGGGAACAGGAAAGGGGAGGGAGAGAAGGAAAGAAGGGACAAGGAAAAAACAAAATGGAAGGGGAAAATGGAAACACCAATATTTTGTAAATAAGGAGGGGAAGAGGGGTTGAAGGGAGGGGAGGGGAATTTTTTGGGGGGTAGGAGAATTTTAAAAAAGAAGAAACAAGATATATCATACAGGTACAAATTCCCTGTGATGAATGCTATCATTATGTATATATACAATGTAACCATAAAATACCCGCCCCAATAACCCACTAGGATCATTCCAGACATTACCTGAACAATAGTGAATCCGGATCTGAGAATAATATCTTGGATCTCCTCCTCTTTGTCAACAATATCGGGTTTGATAATGGCCAGGGTTTTTTCTATATAGATCTGAGGCGGGGGCATTGATAGCTCCATTTTGTCCTTTCCAGGTACAACCTGTTTCTTGATAGGTATCAGCTGCAAAGACATGCATCCCCGATACCAAATTCAATGTAATTGTGACTGAAGAGTGGCAGCATTACTTATAAAAGCAGAAACTGCCGTATGTTTTTCTGTAAGCGGTGTCTCAGTGATTTCTCCTGTGACCAAGTTGAGTTCTGGGAACAAGACCTCGCAGGATCAAGAGCAAGGGGAGACTTGGCGGCGGCAGCATCGGACCGGTGGGGGGCGGGGGCAGGGAGAGGAGGGGAAGAGGAAGGAGGGGACTGGTCTGGTTAGCAACACTGCACGCCACTCCAGCAAAGGCGGAGCGGTCTCAGCTAGCTGCCTTAGTGAAGAGACCCACTGGGCTCCCTCTACATATAGAGTAGACTAGAAACCAGGGTCCCCACGTCCTCTGGCACGCCCCAGGATGAACCTCCGGGACACTCACCTGGGTGCCCGCCCTTCCAGCGCGGCTTGTTGCTAGGAGACTTGAAGCCACAGTTTCCTCCCTACGGTGGCTGTAGAGGGTCAATCCCATTAACAATTTGTACTAGTTTTAACCAAGGGAAATCAGCCACAGGCGTTTTTTATTTCCCCTGTGAACCTTAGTGTACTAGATGTTTTCTAAATTTCCTCATAGTCGGGGATATAGCTTAGAGGCACAAGTTCCTGCCTGGCAAGTGCAAGGTCCGAGTTCGATTTCCGGTACCAAAAAAAAAATTAAATTAAATTTTAAAAATATTCCGGGGGCTGGGGATTTAGCTCAGCGGCACAGTGCCTGCCTGGTAAGATCAAGGTCGTGAGTTCAATTTCTGGTTCCGGAAGAAAAACAAAACAAAACGAAAAATTCTGATAACCTGAAAAAGGCTTTTGCCAGGCATGATGGCACACACCTGTAATCCCAGCA